CAAAGGCATCTTCCACAGATGTAAAAATTTATATGGAACAAAAAAAGACCCCAAATAGCTACAGCAATCTTGAGAAAGAAGAACAAAGGTGGAGGGATCACAATACCTGATCAAACTATAGTACAAGGCTACTGTAATCAAACAGTCTGGTCTTGGCATAAGAACAGACACATAGTTCAATGGAACAGAACAGAGAGCCCCAAAATAAACCCATGTCTCTACGGTCAATTAATATTTGACAAAGGCAGTGTGAGCAATACAATGGAATAAAGATCATCTCTTCAATAAGTGGTGTTGAGAGATCTGAACTGGAACATGCAAAAAAACCCACTAGACTACCAATTTACACAATACACCAGAATAAACTCAGAATGAATAAAGGACTTAAATATAAGTTGTGACACCATAAAAGTCCTAGAGGGAAATAGGCAGTAAAATTTCAGATATCTCACATAGCAGTATTTTTTGCCAATATGTCTCCTAGGGCAAGAGAAATAAAGGAAAAAATAACAAATGAGACTACATCAAATAAAAAAGTTTCCACATGGCTAAAGAAATCATCATCCAAATGAAAAGGGAACTGACATTTTGGGAGAACATATTTGCCAATGATATATCGGACAAGAGTTTGATCTCCAAAATATATAAAGAACTCATACAACTGAATACCAGAAAGACAGATAATTCAATTTAAAAATGGGCAAAGGACCTAAACAAACACTTCTCCAAGGAGGACTTACAGATTTCCTATAGACATATGAAAACATGCTCAACATCCCTAGCCATCAGAGAGATGCAAATTAAAATCACAATGAGATATCACCTCATACAGGTCAGAATGCCTGTTATTAATAAATCAACAAACAATAAGTACTGGTGAGGATGTGAAGAAAAGAGAACCCTAGTACACTGTTGGTGGCAAGGCAGATTGGAGAAGCCACTGTGAAAAACAGTATGGAATTTCCTCAAAAAATTAAAAATGGAACTGTCTTTTGACCCAGTGATTCCACTGCTGGGAATATACCCTAAGAATCCCAAAACACCAGTTCAAAACTACTTATGCACCCCAATGTTATTGCAGCGCTATTTAAAATAGCCATATGTTAAGAATAGACTATGTGCCCATCAGTCGATGAGTGGATTAAAAACCTGAGTGGTACATTTACATGATGAAATACTAGGGAGCATTAAAGAAAGAAGGAATCTCTACTATTTGTGACAGCTTGGATAGAACTGGATACTATTATGCTAAGTGAAAAAATCCAGTCAGTGAAAGACAAATACAATATGATCTCACTTATAAGAAGAATCTAATGAACAAAATAAACTAATGAGCAAAATAGAAACAGAGACGCAGAAACATGGAACAGACTAACAGCTGCAGAAGAAGAGGAGGGAGTAGGAGCAATGGTGGAAAGAAGGGGAAGGGATTATTCAAAGAACATGTGTGAATAACCTATGAATATGAAAAATGGTATGAGAACAGACTGTGGGAGTGAGGGGGGCTGGATGGAGGAGGTCTAAGGGGGAAACATTGAGACAACTGTAATAGAATAAACAAGAATTAAAAAAGATTAAAAAGTTTCATTCCTATAGCATATATCTTTGACATTAGTTGTTGAATGAATTCTAGACATTCTATATTTATTGTTAGCACTGCACACTGTTTTTTTCATTCATTGTATCTTTTACCTGGTAGTAACTGCAGATGCTTGTCATTTATAAAAGTGCTTCTGTATTTTCAGTTTTAGTTTGGAAGGGTTTATATCTTTTGTAATGGTAAGTATTTATCTAATATTTTTTACATTTTTAAAGAATAGATGCTAAATTTTTAATGGCATTGTAGTGTTCATGAGGACAAGCCACAGAGGGTCTCCTAGATTCGTTATTTTAATGTGCTGCTAGATCTTCTTTGCAAATATTTTATTTAGGATATTTCTGTCAATAGATACAAGTGAGACTGAGCTATTGTTTTTTTTTTACAATATTTTTCAAGGTTTCCTATCAATGTAATAACTGCTTCATAACTCAGAAGTTTTTCTCCTTCTATCCTCTAGAACAGTTAAATAGCAATTAAATTAATTACTCTTTTAAATTTATATTTGAAATTAGTAAACTTTTATTGTTTATAGTAGTTTTAGGTATATAACAAATATGAGCAAAAGTATAAAAAATTACTATATACCTTCTTCTCTCCCTACACATACACAGCTTCCCCAGTACTAGATCATGCACTAGACTGTGTATTTATTACCATCAGTGAACCTACACTGACACAGTATCATCCAAAGTCCACAGTTTGCATTAGATGTTGTATGTTCTAGGTGTTTTGATAAATGTGTAATGACATGTATCCTCTACTGTAGTAAAACACAGATAGTTTCATTCCCCTAAAAATCTTCAGTGCTCTGCATATTCACCCTTTTCTCCTCCCAGCCCCTGGCAACCACTGATCATTTTACTGATTTTACTGGTTCGTAGTTTTGCCTTTTCCAGAATGTAATAAAGCTGGAATAATAGAGTATGTAGCCTTTTCAGATTAGTTTCTTTCATTTAATAATACGCATTTAAGTTTCTTCCATGTCTTTTCATGGCTTGATAGCTTATTTCTTTTTAATGTTGAAGAGCAGTATTTTATTATTCGGATGTACCACAGTTAATTCACCCATTCACATACTGAAGAATATCTTGGTTGCTTCTAAGTTTTGCAATAATTAATAAAGTGGCTATGAACATCTATGTGCATATTGTTGTGTAGACATAAATTTTCAACTACTTTGGATAAATGGTAAACTTTTTCTTTGTGATTTCACTGCAGGTAACATGTTAGAAGGCCTTCCGCACTCTAAGATTACCTAATATTTGTTGGCTTTCCACACAGTTCAAACAGGGCTCTGGTTCCCCGTGATTATTTGGGCTCTGTCCTCTCCTGCTTTGTTGTTTTCCTTCATTCACATGATGTCTGCCAGCAGCAACCTGAACTATGTACTTTCTTGGTACACCCACAAAGAAGAAAAAGCACTATTCCTCACAGTTATCTAACAAAAATTCTGACCTTTGTCCTGATTTGGACCACCATGAGCTAGTAGCTGTGGCCTGAGGAAATGTGGCTACTGACTGGTAAACGATCCCACCAGGGCCTACTTTTGGATCTGGAGATGGAGTCATTCATTCCAAGCCAAATCAGCAACATTTAAAATGCTGGGATTAACCATCATGTCCACTGCCTTTAGCCCAATGAAAACTTATAACTTAAAACTATCTCCTAGACATTTTAACATTCTTATGTCATAGTCGTACACATTTGTTTAAAATATGCACAAACTTACTGATGCAGATGTGTACATACATGTGCACAGTCTGTGTTTTTTCTTCCAAAGGCTAATAACTACAACCAAAAGAGGAAATAGACATATCAAAATAACGGCATATACTGGGCAAACTAGAAGTCTAGTTAATATAATAGTTGAACATATTCACTCTGCTATTTAGAACAGTGTATTTCTATACCTTACTGCCCATCAGCCAGATTGCCCAGCAATTCTGTATGAATTCAAAATAGCCCATTTACTCTCTTCTCCACAATGAAACTACTCCTGAAACCTCACTCACTTTTCTTGATGCTTTATCATTTACTGCCAGCATATTTCTAAAGTAATCTCTTGCTTGATATGTGCATGTAATATGTATTTGAAGGATACAAGTGAATCCTAATCTTCTAAACATTCCAAGCCTTCTTAAAGACAAAGCCATTGTCTATCTAGTCAGCCTGTTGATCCCCCTAGTAAGGAGCTCAGCAGAGATCACTGCATATTAAGGATTACCCAATAAATATTCATCAAGTAGGCCATATCATTAGTTTTGTAAAATGTATTATGTATAATTATATCCGGCAAGCACACTGTTAAATTCATGAACACATAATCCACCAAAGTAGATTCCTGCTGCCCCCATAACATGCCTTGCCACTCTTGTCTTCAGTGTTTTCATCTTCAATTCAACTCAGTTGAACAATCTTTTATTTAAAAGCTGCTATGTGCCCAGATATGCTAGGCACTAAGGATACAAATATTAATAAATTGCTTTGTCTTCAAGGAATCTATAGTCATCATTTAACATCTGTTCTTGGAGCATCCTCCCTACTCCCTCTCTCTTTTTCTAATCCTTGTTTTCTCCCTTAGCATGTGATACATATTCATCTTATTTTCAATTAATCTTCAGTCACATCAATGGATGTTTTCTGAGTGCTAAAGGGTTGTTCTAAGGAAGAGCAGAAATTGAGTTCAGATTAAAAGGGAGGTAGGAAAATGGGTTGTGAAGTATAGATCTTGTTGGAGGGAGGCATTACAAGCTGCTAAGGCTAACTCCTCTGTGTTTAGGAGCTGCCAACCTAGGATAAGCACAATCTTAGCCACCTCTGCTAAGGGCACAAAATGCCATCTGGAAAGAAAGGTCATTTTCCTGATTTTTAAATAACTTAACAGTATATTTGTCATTCAAAATAGGATTATCATTCCCAGGATACTGCCAAAAGTACACCTTTTAAAAAAATGTAGCATGTTTTTTAAAATTTATAAAGTGTACTTTATGTTCACCATAAGACAAAATCATGGCGGACTACAAATAACCTAATTCCGTGGCCACATTTTTTCACTGTAGCCAACGATTACTACTAATCTGTAAGTATCCACTGAAGAGGAGAGTCATGTCTTGAAATGAAAATTCATAGTTGCTGAAATCTCATGTTTGAAAAATGATTTCTTATTTGTGTGGTAAAGAGCTCAATGAGAGGGCTATTTTCAACATTATAAAAAACTTTAAAATCATTATTTCAGGGGAAAAAACCCTTTTTACTCAACAAATAGTCACTCTAAACATTTATTGATTGATTATATTCCAATCACATAGTAACTATGAAAATGGTAAATCAGAAGTATAGTAACTTCCCACAAAAATAAAATTTTAGGGACAAAAGTGTATAATTCAAATAGTTTTATTACCTGTATATGTCTTCTAACTGCAGATTAAATTCGTGAAGTTTCTTTTGATATTTCTCTGTAAAGTTACAGAACTCCTTAAAAATAGAAGATTTCAAATCAGGGTCTGGGCATTCCAAAGCTTCCAATTCCACAGGCAGTTCACTCAGCAAGTTACTCCTTTCTTCTGAATAATGATCTAGGATCTGAAAAAAATTATATGACTATTTTATTTAACACAAATGACAAACTGATAAACAAATTGCTATCTACATCACGCTTACTTTATTACTCCAGTCTGAAAGATCATTTTCGAATTTCTGTTGCTCCAGGCTAAGTCCTTCAAAGACAGCTTTTGATTGTTTCTTCACAAAGTCAACCTATAGAAACATTTAGAAAAAGTAGCAGGCAAATTATGGCTATTTTCTCAACATATATATTTAATTGCATGGAATTTATCTCAAAAGCCAATAAGTGATGAAAAATTAGATAAGAGAAAGTCCCTTTGAAGATGTGTGGAAGGAGATTCAAGAAATGCCATAGCCAGGCAGTGCTTATGGTGGGGTTGGGGGTCTTCCAGACACATAACTCAAAACTGAACTGGGAAGTACAGTGGGGTTCTCACCACTCTGCACTCATGTTTTGGTTTTGTTCATGGTGAGGCAGAGAGTTTAGCAGAATATCTGTTTCAATCACCCTTTCCTTCCCTTGCATCCTTGTCTCTAATCCCCAGCTAGGCATGGGACTTTTAATATTTTTTAAAATTATTATTTATGAAAGCAACACTACAGATAACTGAAGAAAAATCACCTAAAGGCCTACATCTAGTACAACTATAATCATGGAGTTTATGCTCTAGCCAGAGGAGATTGTCAATAAATTAATGAAAAATAGCTAAGAACGTATCAGTAGGAGGTAATGTAAAAACATAGTAAGGTAATAGTGAGATAATGGGGCTTCTCTCCAATGAATAGGACAGGCCACTCAGAGGACAGGACATTTAAGCAAAAGACCTAAAAGGACAAAAAATGCTCTCAGTGAGATGGAGGAAAGAGCCAGTGCAAAGGCCTTGAAACAGAACGGAACCTGGTGTATGTGAGGAGGAATAGAAAGAAGGCCATACCTGTGGCAAGGTCTAGGGGGAAAAGGGGTGTCAGGTAGGAGATGAGACTAGAGAAGCAGAGAGGAGAAAGATGTGGGCCAGAAGGAGCCCTGAGGGGCTTTACCAGGGGGATGACTTGATCACTCTGCATTGAAGGTAGAACCCAGAATGCAATGGGAGGAGGGGCAACAATGGAAGCAGGGAGACTAGTTATGAGGCCATTGTAATATTCCAAGTGCAAAATGAGCATGCTTTGCAAGATTCAAGAATGTTTATGATAATGAATAAACAGAATTTGCTATACCTTCTATTAAAATACACAAGATACCCATGTTGGTTTCTTATCTCTAACTATTCTAGTTGGAACAAAAACAAAATATTATATTATTAAAAGTAAAGGTAATATACTGACCTCTTCCAGTACTTTCACTGAGTTAAACTCAGTATGTGAGTGTGAATGCTGTGGACTGAGATGCTGTCTGTATTTTAGATCTTCTCTCAATTGCTGAATAGGATTTATCACATTTTTAAGATATATGCACCACTGTTCTGATAACTCTTGTTCTATAGTGAAGCAAAATTAAATCAAGGTAACACATTATTTTAAGTTTTTTTTCAAGAACAGGTTGTTAAGCCCTGGCTGGTGTAGCTCAGTGAATTGAGTATGGGCCTCTGAACCAAAAGGTCAGTGGTTTGATTCCCAGTCAGGGAACATGCCTGGGTTGCAGGCCAGGTCCTCAGTTCAGGGTGCATGAGAGGCAACCAAGCGATGATGTTTCTCTCCCTCTCTTTCTCCTTCTCTTACCCTCTCTCTAAAAATAAATAAAATCTTGAAAAAAAAAAAGAGAACAGATTCTTAGAGTACAGATTTATTTTTGGATTCTTTTAGAGAAAAACAAACAGCAGTTAATATTAAAGGAACATAAAGTGAGTGGCCCACTCTCATCTTCAAAACACCCCTTTAAATATAGGATCAAAAAAGTCTCACCAAAATTCCTAAGATCAGAAAGACACTCATTTCCGAGGTTCTCTTCATTGAGAAAAGATTTTATTTCAGATTCCATTTTACACCTGAAATAGACATTAACTCAATTTTTATAACCATAAACATATATAGGTTAAAAAAACTAGTAGTAGACATTTAATCTGATGTGGTTTTATTCACCAGTTTATTTATTCAGACCACATAGACTGGATATTTGCCAGACACAATCAGTGGACATTTGGTCCGTACCAATGATATTTGGTCCATCCAAAACATCCACAAGCATATGTGGTTTGTGCCAAATGGTCCTTGGTTCTGTCAAAAATGTCCTTGCTTGCCCTGGCCAGTGGCTCGGGTGGTTGGAATGTTGTCCCATACACCAAAATGTCGTAGGTTTGATCTTTAGTTGGGGTGTATCTGGGAAGCAACCCACCAATGTTTCTCTCCCACACTGTGTTTCAATGTTTCTCTCCCTCTGTGTCTCTCTCTTTCTCTCTCTACCTCCCTTTCAAATCAATAAATATTTCCTTGGGTAAGGATTAAAAACAATATTCATTCTTAGGAAATGTCCTTGGGTTCAGATAACCGATAGTTTATTTCTATTTTTGGTTTATAGGCTTAATACATAAAAAATACTATCAAAGCATAATCAATAAAATATATGTTTTTAAAAAGCATAATCAATGAAAAAATTTTAAGCATAATCAATAAAATATATATTTTAAAATGCTACCATGTTTTATTAGTCCAATTATTGCCAAGGGTTATACTGCCAGTAATAACCCTTCTTGCCTCAGTAGACTACCTGGTAATGGCAAATGGGGTTAAGTAGATGGTTCCAGGTTGGAATCTTGCAAAAGACCAGAATTTATATTAACTATGTACGTTTTGCACAGGGCAAATATCAAGGCATGGACCAGACGTCTCTGTGGACATTTTGGACAAGACCAAGTGTTCTGCAAGGGAAACAGGCATATGTGAATGCCCTGGGCAGAAGTAACAGTGAGGCAAAAGCAAGCGCGTGAAATGTCCTTACACTATTTCTATAGAGAGAGCTCAGAGCGCTGGGAAGCCGCTGAGGGATATTAAACTGAGCTCGCCTGCTTAGCAGATCTGTGTGTGAAAAAGATTTCCAAGGCAGCAAAATGAAAGATAGGCTAGAAAGTGGTGATCAATAAAAATGGAAGATGAACAGGAGGGGGTCAGGCAAATCCGTATCAACAAGGGGGTTATTTTAAAAGTTAAGAGAAGAGGAGCTCTTGAACTGCTGAAGTAAGAGTAAAAGTATATTTTATTTTTATATACTAATACGAGTAATAAATCTTAATGATCTTTCACTGTATTATTTATATATAGTCATTATAAAGTAAAAACATAACCAGCTTTAAAAAGATATTTAAAAATATTGTAGTGGCCCTGACTGGTGTGGCCCAGTGGGCTGGGCATCGTCCCACAAACCAAAAGGTCACTAGTTGGATTCCCAGGCAGACACATGCCCTGGTTGTGGGCCAGGTCCCCAGTTGGGGGAGCTTGAGAGACAACCACACATTGATGTTTCTCTCCCTCTCTCCTTCCCTTATCTTTCCTCTAAAAATAAATAAATAAACTCTTCAAAAAATACATTGTCTCTCCTTTGTTCATGGCAGATTTAATGAAATCATAGAAATGAGTTTTGATTTATTATGATTATAAAAATACAATATTAAAAATGGCATAAAATTAAAATGGGAACAATTATAATGCTTTAACATTGATTATTTTTGCATATAAGTTTCTAGTTGTTGTCTATATGCATATGTTTTAAATAGTTGTAATTATGTCATGTTTACCATTTTATAAATGTTTTTAAATAATATGTTAAAGGTATTTTAATATAATTTTCATAGTTAGTTACTTAATGGCTGAATATATTCTAGTTACATATGCGCCATCATCTTCTAAGCTAAGTCACCTGCATAGGACAGGGCTTTTTTGTGTAAAAAGGGGTGCTAGTGCAGATGACACTCACTCTGTATTTTTCCAGCATGTAGTTTTTACCAGAAGTATCTTTAAGATTACATTTGAAACTATTAAATGAAAGATGGGTACATAATAATGGAATTAAACCAGCCATTATTTCATAATGGATTTGTTTAAACAAAACACAGCATTTATGAAGCAGCTAGCTTAGTTCCCTTATATTTTCAGCACCCAGAAAGCCATAGTGGAACATCTAACCCAACATAAATGGCTTTGTTCATATAGGAGATCAACCAGCCACTTTGCATGTATAATTCTAGTAAGTTCCATCCTGGTTTCAGAGATTAATAACCCCAATCCATCAGACAAGACTAGCCCATTTTTCTACTTGTTCCAGGGCCCAACAAAATCTGGAAGCAGTTTTTATGCCCTCAAGAACTACCAGAATCTGGGACTAGCTTTGAATGCAAGCTAACATTTCCCAAGTTGTGGTCTATAAAATATAAATGGTATGGGATGCTAGGAAAAAATGGAAAATGGTGAACTAAACAAAACCAGACACATTTCTATAGTGCAGGATCTCCCAGGAACCTGAGTATGCTAATGTGCTTTGAGGTTCTCCAAAAAGGGGATGAAATATAAAGTATTTTCCTAATACACAAGACCGTGAAATTCATTCTTCTCCAGAGTATCATAAAGAATATTTCTGTTTTGTACAATATGATTTAGGAAATATAGATAAAAATTGTAATGGCCACAAGAACATTAAAAACAGTAACTCTAGAGAAGAGAACCCTGCCCTGTTATTCATCACTAAGGCACCAGACATTCACCAAGGCATTCACCCAGGCATTCACCAAGCTGCAGCTCTGCAGTACATGCAGCCTCCTTCCTCCACCTCTGAAGAGGGCACAGGTAAATGTTAGGCAACTTTTCATGTGCAAATCTGCCAATTTAGGTGCCTCCTAATGCTACTTGGCCTTTCCTCTGGTACCACCGACTATGACAGTAATACAAAAAACCCTATGGAGTTTTTGTGTGACCATTTGCCTTGATGATATATTAACCTACTTCCTAGATACGCCCACTTGCAATGCAACCACCTACAAGATAAACCATCCTGGTGAAGGGTGTTTTTGAGTTCTAACAGTGAGTTCAGGAGCTGGGCTCAAAAAAGAGCTTTCCGGTACCCTGAGTTACATGATATGAATAGTGATTGGTCTAAATATCATCTTCTTTTTCACTTCTTAAATTTTTAATTTAATTATTGTTCAAGTACAGTTTTCTGTCTTTTACTCCCATCCCAACCCACCCTTCCAGTGCTCCCCACTAAACGTCGTCTTTAAAGATGCATTTCCAGACAGCATTTAATTGTTGGTATAGCTCTATGATATCCTCTGTGTAAAGGTGATACATTCAATGCTTTAAAAGAAAAATTGTGAGTAAGAGACTACATATATTTCTAACAGATATTTGGTTATAAAAAACATCCCTTGTAGAGCCCGGACCAGTGGGGTTCAGCTGGTTGGGCATTGTCTGCCAAAGCAAAAGGTCTTCAGTTTGATTTCTGGTCACATGCCTGGGTTGTTTGGGACCTAACCCTGACTGGTTAGGTCCCACTCAGGGTGTGTGCAAGAGGCAATTGTCACATCTATGTTTCTGTCGCTCTCTCTCTCTCATCTCCTCTCTTTAAAATCAAAAAGCATTTCCTCGGTGAGGACAGAAAAGTATTGTACTGTGAATATGTAAGCCAGTAACATAGAGTCATTTACTTTAAATAAAAATAGTAATTCTTTATCTCATGGCCAATATAAGTAACTTCCTTTTAAACCTCTAAAGCAGTTGTTCTGAAACAAGAGAGCAATATACCCTGGGAAAGTGTATCAATGTCTTCGAGAGGTGTAGTCTGAGAAAATATTAATTATTAAATACAATGTTCTGAATTTAAATATAAAATGTTATTTTTATTTTTAGAAACTTTATGTGACTAGATTCCTCAGTTCAGATTTCAAAGAATTAAAGTTTGGCAAAATCTTTTTTTCTAGCAAGGCTAGACCAATTAGATGGGCTGTGAATGGAACCCTGAACAATTAGAATGGGGTGCAGGGGAAGCTGCTCAACTCCAAGTACAAGGAGTGCTGGAGTTAAACACAACTGTTCCAATACCACCTTCAAATAAACCTGCTGATTTGACTTCTGCAAATAACTTTAATCCTTTGAACCTCAAGATCTTCATCTGTAAAATGAAGACAGCATTGATACCTACTATGCAGGGACATTCTAAGGAGTAAGTGAAAAAAATTACTTAACATATTACTCAGCACATATTAAATCACATCCCACAAAGCTAGATATCATTGTAGACACAAAAGGTAATTCTGCAGACCTAAGATTCTCAAACAAAGTCTCTTATGATGTAGCATAAGAACATTTTACTTGTAATTTTTTGTTAAAAGAAAACAGATTTTCAAAGGTTGAGAAACACTGATAGACTTAAAATTCCTGATTTTCTGGTGGTCCCTAAATTCTCCCAATAGCCACACTCTAACTTTTCTCCTTTGCTGCTTTTAAAAAATATTATTTATTTATTTATTTATTTATTTATTTATTTATTTATTTTTAGTGAGAGGGGCAGGGAGAGAAACACCAATGATGTACGAGAGAAACATGAATCTGTTGCCTCTTGCACACTCCCCACTGGGGACCTGGCCCTCAGCCCAGGCATATACCCAGATGAGAAATCGAACAGCTGACTTTCTGTTTCACAGGCCAGCACTCAATCCACTGAGACACACCAGCCAGGGCACTTTCACCAGCATTTTTCAATTTCACTGAACACATATTGAAATTAGCCTACTTTCTAGAATAACACAGAAAATTTTCTTGGATCTCCTTTTGTCCAGTTTTCAGCCCTTAAAAGTTTCAAGACATTCAGGTTGTTATTACTTGAGTGTTCCTCACTTCCTTCATCTTTGTGTCATTCCTAGTCAACAAAAGGGATTATGTTCCATAATGACATATACATGCCTCTTTTATCTAGCCCAAAAACAACACATTAAGAAGAATATGAAACAGCCAAGATAAAAACTTTCACCAGTGCCTTCCTCTACATTTGAGCTTCCATTGCTGAGCACCTTATTAAAATCTCCTAATGGCTCTCCTTTTTATCATGTGTCAAGTTATGCAAGTTTTCAAAAAAAATTGCTAGTAAACTCAAATATTCTCCCCACAAAAGGTGGTATTTTAAGGAATAAGTCTTATAAGATAGGACCAGCATAGTGACAAAGTCTAAAGTCATTTCAACCATGAGCCTTTTACTTCACATGTAGGAATCTCTTGCCAAAATAAAAACCTCTTATTAATAAAAAAGTGTCAAAAGTAAAGTTAATGATATTTGGAAATTTGCCTTAGACTAAGACCACAAAATTAATATATTTTGACATAAAATACATACTTCTTTACAAATACCAGCATCATTAAAACTAGTATATATGACTCAAATGGAAGGAAAACACATGTGCCTTCTGTTTTTGCCTTATCCTTTGAGAAGAAATTTATTTTTAAAAGATTACAATCCGGATTAAGTATAGAACCATTATTTTGTTTGAATTCATCTTGAAGTGAATGCTGAAAATAATAACAAAAGTCAAAAATCCAAATTGAATAAGTTAGTCATGATGCAGCTATAATACCTCCAGAAATCACTGAGTAGTAAGTTGAGTCCCTTAGTTCATTTGTTAATTTTTTATTGAAAGCATTTAGATATCTACTGTTCTGTATCCTACAATAAAAAATGACTCCCCAAATTTTGTGACCTAAAAATGAATATGAGGGGAAGCTTGCCCTGTTTACCACTTCATAGGGAAGACAAATAGGTAAACAAAATATTATAACCCAAAGGCTAAGTATAATGTAAGTAAGAGTGGAAGTGTAAAAGAGTACGTAATTAGCAGATAAAGATGACATTTTTCCCTAAGGAAAGCAAAAGCCATATTAACATATTCACTGAATTCCAAATTAAACTAAGGAAACAAAACTATTTTAACTTGACTCACGAACTGTAACTTTCAATTTTGATTATAATAGTTTAACTCACATAGAAAGTTATAGGACATTTAACTAAATAAATGCAAGCCTTAGAAATTCCTCTGTGAACTCACTGAGATTTCCTTCAGTCCTTACCTGACTTCGTTCAGCCTTTGGTGTTCCTGCCACCACACTTGCCTGTGTTTTTTCATTAGTGTTTGTTCCTTAGATACCTTTGAAGTCTGCACTGCTTTTCTGATCTAGATTTAGTGAAACAAAAGATGAGCCATTTCAATGTTTCTTAAAATGTGTTTCCACAATGGAAATGTTTAATCTGTGTTTTTCTGCATCAAATACTTACTCTTTTTCCATCTTATTAGTGCATCTTCTAACCCCAAATTCTGCTTAAAATAAGTGCTATGTTCAACAAAAACCAGGGAAGAGAAAGAGAAAATGGTTTGGAATACTGACCAATTTCAGAACTATGTGTAAAGCATTTATGGAAAAAAAGGTGAGGTGATTCTATTTTCCATATATAGAATAAATTAACACCTCAATTCATAAAGTCCCAGAAATATTTTCCATATATTTTCTCACCTTTTGACATATTTCCCTGCCAGGCATCATGGGCATCATTATTCCCGTTTTACAGCTGAAGACACTGATGTTCAGAAAAGTTAAAAGAGTTGATCAAGATCATAAAGCTCATAAACATCAGAATAGCACAGAGCCTTCATGTATGAATTGGCTTTTATCTGATTCTTCAGCATAGGATGGAAAAAGTCATTGGATAAGTTGTTAGGAGGCCTGGCCATATGACCTTGAATAGGCCATTTTAATCTTTCAACTCCATGACTTTGTAAATACTTTTAAAATTTTAGATAAAAATTTATTTGAAGGTATTTAAAGAAATCATAAAATATCATAAATTTTTAAAATTGAAAATTTTAAAATTTTAAAATTCAATTTTTAAAATTGAAATTCTCCCCAAATTTTATGACTTATAAACATAGCATATAATTAATTAGTGCTTTGGGATTTCTGTTTACAAGGTCTGTCAGGCCTGGGTTTGTTTGCCTACAGACCCATTCTTGGCCATCTCCCCAAATCTGCTCCCTATCAAAGAGCAGCCTGTGTGTCTCAAACACTTCTGTCAGCTGCCTTCCAGCTGGCTCAGCCCAAGGGAGACAATGGCAGTGGGAGATTGAAGGGAAGGAGGAAAGGAGAGGCCAAAGGATTACTCCTGCTGCCCTCTCTACTCTCAGAGGCTTCTTAGGGACCATCTGCTTCTTCTCCATTTGCTCCACCTTTTCTTGACAGTTTTACTATGGTTCCAACTATTTCTGGATGACCTTGGCCCATGAGATGGGGTACAAACCTTGCTTTTTCTAAATGTCCCTTTGACTTAGGCATGGCATGATTTCCTGCTGCATTAATCCCTGTATTGCTTCACAGTCCTGTTTGGCTCGTCACCTCTATCATCCGTGTAATCATTTCCTGAATTAAAGGCCCCTCTACTCATTAAAATCCTCCTCAAGTGGTGTCTGTGTCCAGGTTAGACTCTGATACTCATGGTTATGCTCAACTCATGTACTCCATACTAGCTTTTAAACATCTACAAAAGTGTGGTTCAAATCAGGAACTTGGCGAAATATGCATATATTACATTTTCTCTGCTACTACAACACTTAGTAGCCTGAAAAGCTTTAACAGATCAATACTGAAGATATAAAAACTTCAGAAGACAAGTCCCAAAAAGACTCTTCATAATGCATGCTATCTCTAGCTCTTACTGATTACTTTAACCTTGACTTTATCTTGCTGCTATAATGGTTACTGATTCAAAATTAGGCCTATGAGAAAACAAAATAACCCAAACATTACTTAAAAAACCACAAAGTGAAAGTCAAATCTTTTCTTCAGAAGGTCTTAAGAGTGCTACAATCATGAAATTTAGAAGAAAAGTTCATTCAAACAAGAACAGGGCACCACCAGAACACATTCAGAATGTCTATTTCATCTACCCAAAAAATAAAATGGGTAGTGTTTCTAAAACTGACAATGGCGTTTGCTTCAAGAATGCCTAAAATTCATTCCAACTATTTGTCATCCACAGCCTCTAAAGTTTGTTACAAGAAAAAAAACTTTTAAAATTAGATATCTTTGACATATTTGGTCCGTGTTGTACAAAAAACACATTGGTAAAAATGTAGACACATCTTTATAGCTTAAAAAAATCAATACTGCTGCCTTTGGGCCTAAAGAAAGGCCAATTAAGTAGACTATAACAGTCAAAATAAAGTCACCATTTTTCACTAAACACTTCCAATATTTTAGAGAACATCTATTTTTTTTTTGTAAATTCACTCATTAATTTCATTTTAGTCCTCAGGCCAAAAATAAAGAAAAAGTTTTAAAAAACAAAAAGTTTTAAAGTTGTATCTTTGTCAATATAGAGATTTCTAGGTGATTCCAGTTCATTTTGCTGAACAATGAGCCACATGAAATCAATATTTAAGGTAGATGATGATGTATGCAGAATGCTGATAAATTTAAAATAACAAAAATAGTAAATTCATAAAAGAATCAGAAATTAGGGTTTCTTATGTGCTTTATTGTGATGACCCAAGCTAATAAAACTTAAACAGGCTCCTTGAAATGCCACAAGAGCCCACTGGGCCAGATGTCCATCTTCAGAAAGAAATAGCAATCACTAGGGGACCATTTAAGTGTTGGTTATGTGTGCATATCTGTCAAAATTTATTGAGATGGACATTTAAGATTTGTGCACTTTAGACTTCCGCCAAGATGGAGGCGTAGGTGGAAACACTTTGCTTCCTCGCACAACCAAATCTAAAAACAACAAAGTTTTAACAACAACAAACATAACCAAACCAAAGAAAATCGAACAATACGGAGTCCGAAAACAATGAAACACTCAGCTAAACTGGTGAGAGGGGTGAAGCTAGCAATGGAGAGGGTGGGGCAAAAACAATCCCCACCCCCCGACCAGGAAGGTGCACAAGCTACGGGAAGGCGCAGCGTGGCTGGCTGGCTGAGGTCCTGCATTTGTGTGCAGATAAACCAGTGAAGAGACGGGCATTGCGACAGACCACACAGGCCCTGGCACAGGGCAACAGGCTTGCACATTTGCACTCAGATAAACAGGCAGGGGCGAGTGGTGAAGTGGACCAGGCGAGCAGAGAGGACCACCATTGCTCCCTCTCTGACCCCACCTCCACATACAGCGTCACAAACCAGCGACCTGGGCGGCCCCACCCTGGTGAACATCTAAAGTGCCTCTCCTCATACATAACAGGCACCAACAGATCAAAACATGGCTCAAGAACAACTCAGAGCCCCAGAGCCAATAAATCTAAGTGACGAAGAAAAAGCCAAACTTTCAGATGCACAGTTCAAAACACTGGTGATCAGGATGCTCACAGAACTGGTTGATTTTAGTCACAAATTAGAGGAACATATGAAGGCTAAACTAATTGAAATGAAGGGAAATGCACAGGAAACCAATAGTAATGGGAAGGAAACTGGGACTCAAATCAAGGGAGCAGACCAGAAGGAAGAAAAAAGTGACCAAACAGAAAAACATGAAGAAACAAGATTCAAAAAAATGAGGAGAAGCTTAGGAGCCTCCAGGAAATCTTTAAATGCTCCAACACCCGAATTATAGGGATACCAGAAGGGGAAGAGGAACAGTCACGAGTGGAAACCTTATTTGAACAAATAATAAAAGAGAACTTCCCCAATCTGGCAAAGGCAATAGACTTCCAGGAAATCCAGGAAGCTCAGAGAGTCCCAAAGAAGTTGGACCCAAGAAGGAACACACCAAGGCACATCATCATTATATTAGCCAAGATTCAAATGAAGGAGAGAATCCTAGAAGCAGCAAGAGCTAAGGGGACAGTCACCTACAAAGGAGTGCCGATCAGACTGTCAGATTTCTCAAAAGAGACCTTACAGGCAAGAAGGGGCTGGAAAGAAGCATTCCAAGTCATGAAAACCAAAGACCTACAACCAAGATTGCTCTATCCAGCAAAGCTTTTATTTAAAATAGGACAGTTAAAGTGCTTCTCAGATAAGATCAAATTCAAGGAGTTCATCAGCACCAAGCCCTTATTATATGAAATGTTAAAGGGACTTACCTAAGAAAAAGAAGATAAAAAAGATGAACAGTGAAAGGACAACAAACACAGTTATTAACAACCACACCTAAAACAAAAGCAAATTAAGAGGACAGCTAAATCAGGAGCAGAACCATAGAAATGAAGATCTCAAGGAGGGTTAGCAACAGGGGAGTGGGAGAAGGAGAAGGGGGGAGAAGGTACAGAAAATAAGTAGCATAGATGGTAGGTAGAAAATAGATAGGGGGGAGGGCAAGAATAGTAGGGGAAATATAGAATCTAAAGAATTTGAGACACATGTTCATGAACTAAAGGGGGAGGAATAGTGGGGGAGGGGGTGTGCAGGGTGAAGGGGAATGAAGGGGGAAAATAGAACAAATGTAATGGCATAATCAATAAAATAAAAAATATATTAAGAAAAGATTTGTACACTTTAATATATGTGAGTTGTACCTTAATAAAGAACTGTTAAATAAATCAAAAGAAAAAACTACATACACTAAATTGTAATTTGTCATGTATCAGGTTGGCAAATATGCAAATGTTTAACAAAACACTCTTTGACATTATGGGAAAATATGATCTCACTCAAGTTGCTAATCAAAATATAAAATGATGCAACAATCCCCTTCCCATCAGAAGGGAATTTGGAGATATATAGCACAATTTCATGAGTTTACCTTTACTTACAGGAATCTCTCTGAAAACTCTAATAGCAAATGAATAAAAAGATAAATGAACAAAGCTATTCAATGCAGCACTATTTGTAATAGAAAGAAACTAGAGCACAAAAATTCCATCAGTAAGTATTCTTGCCAAAATAAATTGAACCTGAATCTGATCAAGTCTCTAGATAAAACTATCAATTTACTGGAAATACAAGAGACAGAAAAACATGTTAACTGACACCACCAGGATATAATCAGCAAAATCCAAACTGTAAAAAACTATAAAAGACAAACTACAAAATTCTGTCAAGAAATAAATGACAAAAACACAAGAAGAGTAGGAAAATAAAAATAAATGCAATATATGGATCTTATTCAGATATTGATTTAAATAAACTTTAAGAAAAATTTGATAAAATCAGGAAATATAACATTGACTGGACATTTGAAATT